CACCTAATTTCCCTCTGGGATCAATAAAGTATTTTTGAATAGAATTGAATTGAATAAAAGCACACACAGACATAATCACCCTTTCGCCTGTGGAAGCAGGCAACAACAGAGTTATTACAGGTTTAGCTGTAACCAGAGCTGCACCATATTTCCTGCTGAATAATAAATAACTCAAGAGTGTTAAGTAAAGCCACACATCCAGTAGCCCATCACAAAACATATCTGTTTACAGGAGTGTCAGTCTTGTGCGTCAACAATGTTGTGTCTGCTGTAGTTGGGACAGTTTCTCTCCCAAATACAATGATGCAGCTTTTTGTTTTTTTGTGTCTTATTTACTGCCATAGAACCTTTTTTCACACTGAAACATATAAAAGGTCAGGTTTAATTTAATATCTGAAAATTGTGAGCAATGCAACAAGTCTGTGGGGAAATTTATAAGATTTCTTTTTCATTTCTGTTTGTGAGGCTTGGATTTTGAACACACAGTGCATGTGCTACATCTTCAGTTTATTTACGGCTGAAGATTTTTTTTTTTACAATTACTGTATAAAACTAGCATTCCTTGACAAAATGCATAATGCTTATTCCACTAAAGATTTGTGTGTGATTTAGTGTACAGAGTATGTATTGAGAACAGGGATGCACAGATATAAAATTTTTTAGCTGATACCCCTATCAATATGGGATGGGGGTCAATATTAATATTGCTGCTATCTGTAAATATTGGTTATTGGTCATATTACACAAAGATATATACAATATATATTATATATACATAGATACCAGACTGCTGACATGGCTCTCTAATTCAGTTATTCCTGGCTGCGCAGCATCCCTATCATGATCAAACAGATACTGTACCGCTCGACCAACCATTTCCTCTCCCAAAACAGAAGCACAAAGCTAAAAAGTGRGAAATCAATACTGGATGTTACAGTATATCGGCCCCGTTTTACTCATCGGATCGATACAATATGCTAAAAAGTGACCAAAATCAGCTGATACCGATAATGCTGATATACTGTATCTTGCATCCCTAATTGAGRATATCTATCAGTTACTACCACACCAAATTTAGCCTTAGGAAMTGCAAAAATTAATGATTTACAGGAATTTGTGTTTTCTACGGTTGAGTAGTTGTGGCTGACAACAATTATTAAGTTGTAATTGTACATTCAGTGACAACTTTCTAAAAGTTTCATTAAAATCAGTCCAGTAATTCCTGATATTTTTCTAATAGTCTAAAATTTCACTGAGTAGTTAAAGTTTGTGCTCTCAGTGCTCAGAGTGTAAGCTGAGCTTTAATAAAACCTATCATCTGATTCATGAAATATTTTTCTGACAYTGAACACACACACACACACACACACACTTTGACATGACTGTCCACCTATGATACCAACAATAAAAGACAATAAAAGGCATATACACTAAAAGTAAAAACAGTCACATTCTCACCTGAGTGTCTGATATGGACACCCGTTTGGACTCCACTGTGGGGCGGCGAGCCCCCCGAGGTGAAATGTGTGTATATCCTTCCTCTGAGCCTGACGGCTGATAGGTACCCCTCTCTTGGAGCGACAGCTTCCTCCCGGTCAGGTGGGGCCGTTGGGCCCTCTTGGCCTGCTTCCCGTCCCTCGGAGCCTTGCCGTTCTTTACGCCGTTGGGGGCCGAGCTGTCCGAGTCTTTTGTCGTCATGGCAGCCATGATGTCCGTGAGACTACTCATGCGCGGGGAGGAGGTGGGGTCCCGCCTCTCATAGCCAGGGTCACTGCTCATAGCCATGGCAGATGGGAGGGTTGGATAGGCTGCAGAAGCAGGTGACAGTGTCAGGGAGCACCCACCAGCATCAACGTGACCTGGGTCTGCTGGTGGTCTCACTAATCAGGGTCCCGCCAAAGCTACAAACAAAAAGGGAAACAGCTGTGAGCTCTTTGGGACACAAGCAGGAGAACACAACATGTATTTTCTCTCAATCTTTGKTCACTTGTTAGGTTGTTTATTCACTGAAATCTCTCTAAACTTCACACTGACTTCATCCTCCATGACAGATTTACYGAGGGGCTTTGCAACATCATTACTTTCTCAAAATGTGCCTTTTTTTAGCATGAGTTTTGTTTGCAAGTGGTGATTACTAGAGGTGTTTGAGGGTCACAATTCAGTGCAACAACAAAGATAAAACAATGCTAAATGCTATTTGTAGTTTTTTTTCACTCTCAGAAACAGGGACAAAACAAACCACCCCTGTTATAGCAGCAGGATTTATCGTCACCTGGTAACTTTATCTTAAAAATAAAGTCATTTTCATCCAAATTCAACTGTAAAAACTGAAAAACTCAAGAAAGTTACTGGATTTAAAAGAAACTTTACAAAGACAAGTAGTGTTTACCTGTATTATACAACCAAGTGATGCAAAAATAAAAACATAGAACTGAATAACATTTCCCAATGTAAAAAAACAAACAATTTCTGTGAAATACCCCAAGCTCAGTTAGGTGTGGGAAAAATATGCAGATTTAATTAATATTTATATGRAGTTGATTTTGTGACATAAGTGCTTGCCATACTGGCACCTCCCGTCTCCTCTTGCTGAAGCTGTTCATCATCAGAGGCACTCTGGAGTTTTTCACAGTTGATTTCAATCAAACAGGCAGGTAAGTTTCAGCGTTGTTGTTCTGAACCACTCATGCTTTGCTTGATGAAAAGTGCTGCAGACGGTATCTGCTTCTTTTCCACTGCGCTTGTTAACAAAACAGCTGCATGATTAAGCAGTGGTTTGTTGCTTCACAGCAAGAAGACTGCAGATTCCAAAAAATAATCGACCAATTAATCAGTTATTATTAAAATAATTGTTAGTTGCAGCCCCAGTAAGTAGTCCAGGAGAGAGCAGGTGATCAGGTTACTCAGCAGAAGGCAGAGTGGCAGATAAGTGGCATTCCAGGTCTGATGAGCTCATGGAGGGTACGCCAGTTTTCAGAAAATGTCGGTGAAGCTGAGAACACAGGTAAGTAATAGAATAACTAATCTGCTGTGAGCTATACCAAGACGTATGTGATGGTCCAGCAAAGACCAGATCCTCTGAGAAGCCTTATAAAGCCATCAAGCTCATCGAGGGAATCCACAGCTGCAATTACCATTGCCGGCCAACTGGTGAACTGCAGGAGCTGAGAATACTGAACAGGGAACCTCACAGCTGGGTGTGAAACCATTGGGATGAGGAAAGTTCCCTCAATTCTGAAGCCTTAATGCTCACCTGTAAAAAATAGTGATTGCCCCTGACAGGTCAGGCTGAGTCTCTGCTTTAAAAGGAGTTCATGTATTTGAAAGTCTTGTTAAAAGGATGGTAGTATGAGCAGGAAATGGACTGACCGACTGTGGCCTCGTCTGAGGTAATGAAGTCGCTGCTCTGGTCTTTGAAGGTAAAAACAACCTGAGCCAAAAGGCAAAACTGTCAATTTACTAATCTTTTGTTTCAACCTTTACCTGTGGACATAAAGCGGGTCATAATGGACAAAACAAGATCCTGAAAACAAGCCATGGAGTTACAGCTGGGCTCAGATGAGCGCGGTCATCTGGAAGAAGCTTGAAATCAACACGAATGTTTCCTCGATGTATTCTTCTGGGAAGAGATTCTGGGCCAAACCAGAACTCAGTAATATTTATCCTGGATAGATGGATGGATTTCACTGTCTTCTTAGCATATTCAAGTGTTTACTTGTGATGTTGCCTTGTATAACTTCCATTGTATCCACTTAYGGGCTTTCTATTTTTATTACATGTAGCATTATCTTCTGATAAAACAAGTTCAATTAACAAACAAAAGCAACTAATAGCAAAAGAAAAGATTGGGAAATCCACTTGAATGTTAAGTGTTTTCATGTCTTTTAGCGTCCAAGTTTTGACGTGAGGAAATCTTCAGAAGAGACATCTATAAGTAAAGGGGGAAAGTGGCTTGTAGCCAGGTGAATTCATTTCATTTCCATTAGGAAATCCATTTCGCTTAGAGCCTGCTTTCAATTTGGCTTCACGTCTTTTACTTCTGTGCTGACAACAAACAGAGACACCAGAGACCAAAATCAAAATACTTCTTGGTTTATTAAATAGACGTGCCTGACTAAACAGGCTGCTGTTGATTTGATTTCTGAAAAGGACCCTCTACTTGCAGATCATGTATGTAAGGAGATACGTTTGTTTTTGCAAAGCTAATGCTGTTAATTTTGTTTTTTTATGTTGATTTATTTCAAACGTGATTTATATGCAGGCAATCATTTCATGCAACAAAGAGAGAAACAAAAAGAAACACCAACATGAAATTAAAAAAGTGCACCTTTTGTTTAGCTCCTGGCAAGGAGTGGGAAGACCTACATACTTATTTAATACAACCCCTCTCAATTAATAATTGTCTAGTTCCTTATTAAAACAACTACCAACGACAATAGTACATACTATAGTATTTCTAAATACAGCYATCATCAAAACATCTTATTTTTCCTCTTTCATTAAGATAATTTTTAATTTTTCTTTTTCAAACATTTTGATGTTTGGGCATTGCTTCAGCTATTTGAATCGGAGCATTTTCTGAAAAAAATGTTTAAATGCAAACAGTTTTGATTGTTCTTCATTCACCAAGAAACAACTAGAAAGTATTTTTGCATTTGTATTTTTGTATTGTGTATTAAAATAAACTGCTTAGTGTGAAGCTTTCTTGGACTGGCACATTAATTTGTTTAAAAAATAAACAATAAAAGGTTAGTAGCACCACAAAGACAGAGAGAGAGCTGCAAAGCCTGACCATTATCTAGAGTAAGGTAATTTCATTGTGCTCTGTACAATGTCAATAAAGGTCTAATCTAATCTAAAGGTTGAATGTTTAATTTTCAGAACAAAAGCCCTTTTCTTTACTAAATATGTTAGATAACTTAAAACCAAATAMTAAACTTTGAACTTTGTCCTTTTTATAGGTAGAATCAGGTTGTAAACATTTATAGCCCTACCCATAGAGAGGCCCTTTCCACCCTCATAGTTGGATTTCTTTACATTCCCACTTCCCTTTTTTACACCTCTAATAAATGTCAACACGCTTTTAAGGCAGGGATGTGCAGAGAACTTTAAAGCAGTAGGTGCTCAAAAATTTAACGCATCAAAAATAAACTTTTAAAATGTATATAAACAAAACAATTTACTGCACGAACTGCCAACTTAAATCAATCAAAGTATAAAAAGTATGTAAACAGAATTTCAGGGTTAAGTCATCTGATCTTTTCCTGCTCCATTTCTATAAAACCAAACCAGAATCTCAACTCTGATCAGTTCTTTTTAAGAAGAAGTAGCTCCTGTATCTTCCAAACAATACCAAAGAAAATGAAAAAAAAAACTGAAATTATGAAAAATGGTCAAAAAAGTCATGTTTTTCCCAGCCTGGAAAATCACTTTAAAGATAGAAGAAACAATTACCTAATTAGAAAATAAATGGCAAAAATGGCCAGGAATCTAATTAGAGGCCAAGCAAATCGAATTAAGTTTATTTGTACAATAAACAGGTCATTTAGGCACATTACTGTTTTACCTGATTATCAGGACAGATGCTGTTGGGTTGAAACTGTTATTTTTGCCTTCATGGGAACCATTTTTATATTACAAAACAAAAACTTGGATTCATCGCTCAATGTTTAATATCCTGGCTGGATGAAAACAGCTTTCATACATTAGTTAAATCAGAGAATGTGATTTGCTTATGAAAACTCATTTTTACTGCAGGGTATCAAGATAAACATGCACTGCTCTCACTGGTTTCAAACATACATTCAACAAAAAAAAAAAAGGCAGATTTAGTTGAAACCAATAAATCAGCATTATCATTATGAAACATAAGCTTTTCAAGGCTCGYTCCTCCCTGTGGCCACAAGTTGATAAGGTCTTCTTATGGCTGCTTTTTTTCCTGTCACATTCCATCTTACTCAAACAAAAATCAGGCGAATTAACCACTGAGGAAAACAAAAAGCTAGAATAAGCCCAGCAGGAACTGGCTGCTCGTGATGGATGATGACGAAGGRCAAGAGAACAGCATGGATTTGCATAACTGTTGTACCCAAACACTGAAAGCTTCTGACCTCCAGGCATTAACTGGTTTCAAATTTTAAAAAGGTATAACGCAGTGTTTAATTTCCTTTTTTTAATTATATAAAAAAATTGTTGTGTTTTGATACCAATACTGGTATTTAGTATAGGGTCCAAGACCAGTATTTTTACAAGTACTCGTACAAAATGCCCCAAAACTCAGTACCAATACCAACACCCATATTAATGCCCCAGATCCATGTTTACAAGTTGAAAGAAAATCTTATTTTTTATTATTCGTTTTAAAATATTTCAACAATATGTCATGCTGTATATTTGACTTGATCCAGTCAGAGAGGCTGTAGGCCTATAAGGAAAGAGAGGTACCTTGTACTAAATAAAAGAAATGCATCAGGACACTTCGATCTAGACTACAGAATGTTAACAACCCCAACTCCAATGAAGCTGGGACGTTGCGTAAAACAAATAAAAACAGAATATGATGATTTGCAAATCCTTTTCAACCTATAATCTATTGAACACACTAAAAATTTCACCTAATTTCCCTCTGGGATCAATAAAGTATTTTTGAATTGAATTGAATTGAAAAAGACTGGATATTTAACGTTCAAACAGATAAAATTTTGTTTTTTACAAATGTTTACTCATTTTGAATTTGATGCCTGAACACGTTCCAAAAAAGGCTGGGGCAGGGGCAAGAAAAAACTGGGAAAGTTGAGAAATGCTCAAAAAACACCTGTTTGGATCATTCCACAGGTGAACAGGTTGATTGGAAACAGGTCAGTGTCATGATTGGGTATAAAGGGAGCATCCCCGAAAGGCC